TTCTTTCAGAACAAAGTTTTTTCTATAGCTTTTTTGAGGGAGACCTATATTGTATATTCTATTTTTTTAATTCACAGCATCACACAAATACAGTACATGACATAAGGTGTGGAGGTGTATCTACAAGAAGCAAACATCTACAACTAGTGCATATAATAATAACATGGTAACAATGGTAACAATGCATCACATTTCTCTCTGTATCCTCTGGCATTGTAGTTCTCTTATTAAGGGGAGTAGTACCCTGAGGCAGTCTGCTAAGAAACTACTTATAGTATACACTCTTATTTTGTACAGTCAGTATTTTTCTTGTGGATATGATAATATTGTCAAGTGCTTCTGTTCATTTGGCAAGATTCTGATGCATCTGTTTGCATGCTAGAATCCTTTTATAGTGTAGTCAACCTTGAGTACGTTAAGATATGTGGACTTAATATCCTAGAATTCTCCAGCCAGTATGCTATGAAATCCACACATCTTGAAATAGCCAAGGTTGAGAAACATTGGTGTAGTACTTTTCCAATAATCTATATATCAAAGAATTGCCAAAATTTAAGGGGGGGAAATCTTAGTGTCTAAATTTAGTTCTCTTTCCTTGGGTGTTGAAAGTGAATCACCAGATTTCCTTTGCTCCTAACAATTATGTGGAGAAAATCTACCTTCAATCTACCTCATATTGACTGTACCCTAAATGAATGTACAACTGAACCCATACACGCAACCTTCTACAATGCTGTTACAAATCTGGGCCTGGAATAACTAGTAACCAACAACACTAGACTAAACAACTGCCCCAATCTCATCTTCTGCAATAGTTTGAATTTAATTTACGGAATACAAACTAAAGAACCCTTTTCCAGCAGTGACCACAATATGATTGACTTTTGTCTCAGCCCACACAGAAATCATCACAATGACGTAATCCCCAATTATAACTTCAAAAAAGGCAACTATGATCTTATAGACAACAATCTCTCATCCCTTGATTGGCAATCTCTATTCACTGGATGCAAGACTGTTGAAGACCATTACAACATATTTTTACTTGAAGTCAAAAGAGTAATCAAACTATATGTACCAACAACAACTCCCAAAACAAAACAAAAAAACAGATTACCCAAAACAATAAGGAAACTTCAATCCAAAAAGAGATCACTCTGGCGGAAAAACAAATCTGGTCACGTTGCCAATTTCAAAGCCGATACAAAAATTTATGCCACCAGATAAAGACTGTATGCACCAATTATCACATTAAACAAGAGGAAAACCTATGCACCAATTCCACCCGCGCTTTTTACAATTTTGTAAACAACAAACTAAAAGACTCAAGGTCCATCCCACCCCTGATAGGACCTAATGGTAAAGACTGTAACGACGACACCGTTAAAGCCAACATCTTTAACACATTCTTTGGCTCAGTATTTGTAAACAGCAATGGGTCATGTCCAGTATTTCCTAGCCGAACCACAGACAACTACAATGATCTAATACATATCGATTTTACAGAAGACAATGTTGAAAAAGCACTATGCAATCTAAAACCATCTCTATCTATTGGACCGGATGGAATATGTGCCTACTTCTTTAAAAAGCTATCCACTGCCATAGCCGAACCTCTAAGCATAATCTTTGAAAAATCTTTCAGGACCAGCTCCTTGCCAAAACTATGGTCACAAGCCATGGTCATCCCCATCTTCAAAAAGGGAGACCCCAGCCTAGTTGAAAATTACAGACCAATCTCTTTATGCTGCGTCACCTGTAAAGTCATGGAATCAATTATTAACCAATCCATTATCCTCCACTTAGAGACAAACAGCCTACTCTCCAATAAACAATTTGGTTTCAGGAAAAATCTATCATGTAATCTGCAACTGTTACACTGCAAAAACATATGGACTACACAACTCGATCAGGGCAAAGCAATAGATGCAATCTACATAGACTTCTGTAAAGCCTTTGATTCAGTGGTACACGGCAAACTACTCCTAAAACTAAAATCTTATGGTATCTCTGGACAACTGCATAACTGGATAGAAGCATTCCTGTCAAACAGACAACAAATGGTCAAAATTGGGAGTGTCCTATCAAATTCTGTACCTGTCAACAGTGGTGTCCCCCAAGGTAGTGTTCTAGGACCAACTCTCTTCATACTCTACATAAATCACCTCTGTGATCATATTAAGAGCAACTGCGTTCTTTTCGCTGATGATGTAAAGCTGTTCAATACCACAGACAATACCACTAACCCTTCAAAAAGACCTTGACTATGTATCAGAATGGTCAAACAAATGGCAACTTCAAATCTCAACAAATAAATGCTCTGTCTTACATATTGGCAAAAAAAAATCAGAAAATAAAATACAAGCTGAATAGTCAAGATCTTGTTGATGATCCAAGTTCTGTAAAGGACCTTGGAATACTCATCTCTAATGATCTAAGTGCTAGAGCCCACTGTAACTACATAGCCAAAAAGGCATTAAGAGTTGTTAACCTAATCCTCCATAGCTTTTTCTCTGGTAATATCACACTACTAACTAGAGCATACAAAACATTTGCTAGACCAATACTCGAATACAGCTCATCAGTCTGGAGCCCACATTACGTATCTGATATTAGCACAGTTGAGAAAGTCCAGAAATATTTCACAAGAAGAGTTCTCCACTCCTCTACTCATTGTAGAATACCTTATGCCACCAGACTTGAAATTCTAGACCTAGAAAACCTTGAATTATGCCGTCTTCGGTCTGATCTAAGTATGGTATATAAAATCATACATTGCAATGTCATACCTGTCAATGAATACTTCAGCTTCAACCATAACAACACAAGAGCACACAATAGATACAAACTCAAGGTTAACCGCACCAAACTTGATTACAGGAAATACGACTTCAGCAACAGAGTAGTCAATGTCTGGAATACTCTACCTGACTCTGTAGTTTCTTCCCCAAACCCCAAAAACTTTAACCTTAGACTGTCTACTATTGACCTCACCCCTTTCCGAAGAGGTCTGTAGGGGGCGTGCATAAGCGCACCAATGTGCCTACCGTCCCTGTCCTATTGTTTCTTTTATTTTTCTTGTATGTACCCATTTCATGTATTCATAACTATGTATATACTTATACCTATTATCTTGAAAGCAATTAACAAATCAAATAAATAAATAAAAATAAAAAAATGACTAGAATCAGAAGATAGGGGATTAGAAGGGAAGTATCAGCCCTCTCAGGTAAACCAGACCGAAAACACAATTTGATCTAATTCTTTATTGTAAGGCTACATTTGCAAAATCTTGCAAGTCTAAAAGTGCTAACTTCCTGCTGCCACTTTTAACTGCATAATCGATTAGGGCGGGTGCTTCCTAAGTTTCTTTCTCTGATTCTTAAGCCACTGGGAGCTTCTGTCTCTCTTGTTTGATTGTTCTCTGATTGTTTCTTAGGCAGCATCTCTTCCCCTTGTTCCCCAAGGTCATCCACACATTCCCTTTCAGGAAGTATTTTTGATCAGCTTCCACTGAGATTCATCGTGAATTACTGTAAATATTTTTGAAGGAGTAGGGATAATATTGCAGTGGAGAATGGTGACCAGAGGATTAATGTTAGGTTGCAAATTCTTTCTGATTGTGAGCTTGCGTATTTGCACTCAGACAGCTGCTCCTTGTAAGTAAACTACAGAACCTGAAGTTTTTGTAATTGATTCATGAGTTGAGCAGCTGGGAATCAAAGATTCCATCTAAGCTCATAGCCACAATATAGCCTATACAGATATAAAGTTGAACCTCTCTTATTACTCATTTTGGATCTGAAGAGTTAAAGAAATATTTTATTTGTGGTAGGATAAGGAGGGTTTTTTTCTGAATCACAAAGCAACTGGGAAAAAAAGATTTCAAAGACTTAAGAATGTCTTAAGCTTAGCAAGGAGATGATGTAAGAAAGTTTAAAAGAGATAAAGGGGACAGTTATTCTGAAAGGTTACTTTTGAATAGATTGGAATTAAATTAGATAAATAACCTGGGCTTTAATGTGAGTGTGAGTGTGTTCTGATTATTATTAAAAATTGCAGGCTATTGGTCAAAATAAAAATAAAGATAAGCATAATATGAACCTACTGTATTGTTGACTGTAACTATAGAGATGTGGATTATATGTTGATTAATTAGAGTGGCATTAGAGACTAAAGTATTAAAAGACAAAAGAGACAAAAAGTGGGGAAAGCTTGCTTTTTCCTTTTCCCACTTGCAACATGTTTTCATTTGCATTATAATATAATGGCAAGAACTCAAAAAGTAGCAAAATTGGGTGGGGAAGGATTGTGTTAGAGCAATCTGAAGTGAAGAATTGCACCATATTTTCTTCAGAAAAAAATTAAACAACTTTCCAGTATATTAGCTGAACCATTGATAACTAAATTGATACTGGTATCTGTGGAAAAAAGAATGGCTGAAATATTTTTAATGATGAAAGAGGAGATGAAAGAGAATGTTAAGAAGATGGAAAACCCTGTGAAATGAGTGTCTAGAGATGTAAAACAAATTAAGGACAAAGTGGAGATTTTGAAGAGTAAGATAGAGGTTATAAACAAAAAATTGGAAAAAGAATTAGATAACCTGGCTCCGTTGAAATTGAGAGAGAAGGACTTTTGTTTGAGGCTTCTGATGAGAATATTAGAATCTTGGCATTTTGAGTATGGGGGAATTGGGAAGTTGTAAATTCAGAGGCAGCAATTGATAATGTTTATTGAAAAAAATTGAAGATTTCTAAGAATAAGAAATGTTCTAAGCAAAGGGTGCACTTTATCAATAAGAAGACAAATGGATAAAGTTTTGCAGCAGGATTTTAATGCAAAACTGAAGATCAATAACCTGATATAAAGAAACGTGTTTAAAGAAATTCGTATCAAAATTTTACTGATCAAAAATAATAAAAAATTGTACTTTTTTAAAATGAAAGAGCCCATTTTGGTGGGACAAAGTGAAAAATGTAACTTTTATTTTTATACAGCAGAGATTTTGACTAAATTCTGTTCAGAAGAGGAGATAATTTCTAGAAAAATTCAAGGAAGAGAAGAGAAGATTCAAATGGAGGTGCCAGAGGAAACTACATAAAAAATTCAACAGATCCAACAGGAAACTGAAAGGAATGGTACTGAATTAAATCTACACTTCTACAGGTATTGATTTTTTTCTAAATGTTTGGCTTGATTATGGATTACAAATGCTTAATGTGGAATATAAATTGAGAAAGTGCTCCTCAAAAGAGAAAGAAAGATTATTTGAAAAACATTTAAACACAAAACAACTTGCTTAAATAATTTATTAGAAGAAAGGACATAAAATATTTGGTTTATGAAAATTTGGGTGCAGAATTTTTTTTCAACAGCAACAAAAGAAAACAAATAGAGTTGTTTTGTATATTAATCCCCAACTAAAAATAGAACTTGTACTGACTGATGAGCACGGTAGATATGCTATAGTGGAAATTAATTTGCATCGGGCTAAGACTTTGGAAGACTTTGCAATTCATGCCACAAATGAGAATGATGTACTGTTCTGTAAATGATGTATGGAAAGATTAAGATGTTTTTCTTATAAAAATTGGTCTTTGATAGGGAATTGGAATTACACAATATCTGCATAATTGGATAGAACTTCTAAGAAAAAGCATTAAAATAACTCACGGTAGTTTACCAAAAGGTTTTGTTTTTTGCTTTTGTTTGGATTGACAACGTAGGTCTGGTTAATATATGGAAAGAGCAAAATGATATTCTAGAGAATTATTCAGAAAGACATTGCTCCTTGTCAAGAATAGAAATTATCTCTATTTCAAAGAACATGGATAGTAAGGTTTCTAAATTAGAAATACTATCAGATGTTTTAGATTATAATCCTGTGAGTTTGGCATATAAAAGAAAATATATTGATTTATAAAAGAAAATTCATTCACGTGGAGACTACATGAAATGTTACAGAAAGAAGTAATGGAGGCTGCACCCTGCCCCACGGCCTGTTTTAGCTGGCAGAGGCACCGCAGTTTGGACCTTTGCTATTTCCAGTCTGGCCCTATGGGCCATATTTAAGCATCCCTGAGTTTGACACCCCTGCTTTAGGTAAAGGCACCAATCCAAAAATGGTTTGAGATACAAGTAAAGCTTTTACTAGAGATTATTTTAACCGCTTATAAAAACTGAATGAATATCTAAAGAAACAAAGACTTCAGAGTTCACTGAGGGTTTCCAGTGTTTTTTAATACCTGATAATTACTTCCAAAATGTTTTCAATCTTTTTCCCAATGCAATATGGAAGCAATAATAGCAACTTGTCTTAGAAGGTCATAAAAAATGTATTTCTTAAATCAATTTTGATACTAAAAATACCAAGTATTAATGGCAACTGATTAAAATGCAGAGCTACATCAGAATTGTATTCCTTTTCTAGAAATAAATCTGAAATTAAATAAGCAATTACTACTTTTGTGGGTTTGTATTAAAGGACAAATGATATAAAGCATAAACATTCAAAAATTCAAATGTATCTTCTCAGTATTTTTGCCTGAGTAATTTCCATGTTTGTGTTTAGACATTTTTGTCATGCATAAAATGCTTAAAAGAGTTGTTTACAACTAGCTTGTTTTTCCTCTAAATTTTGTAATTTATATAATATTGGTTATTTAATAATTCAGCAATATTTCCTAACTGAAACTATTATAATCTCACTGCAGTAGAACAACAATTTCCGTAACATTCAAGAGCTGACCCCCAGAGGATCTAATGCATTTGATCTATTTATTTGTGGCATTGGGATTTAATGAGGGCAACTTTCAGATCTAGGAAAGTAAAATAGTTTTGCTAGAGCTATGATGTCAGTGGCTTTTCAGAGCAGCAAGCCAGTTTTCCACACATGACAGAATGGTTGACAACACAAGAATGATTTCCTGAAATGATGGGGGGAAATGTGGGACAAAACTGATACAGGATATAAGATGAGGCAGGGATGAGGAACCGTTCAACAGGGATGTAGAAGTTGCTTGATCTACAGGAACAGTGACCATATGTCCTTAATTATAAAGGACAGCCCTTCATTTCCTTCAGATCTGTCTGTCTGTCTATTTTTGGTTTTGCCCTTGAATTTTCCTTTGTAAAGGAAAATTATAAACCTAAACAATTTTCTTATCCTTATGAAACACTTTCAGATTTGCCCCCTTTTCAGGTTTGTCCTTTATTTTTTCCATGAAAATATGGTCACTGTTTACAGTCATATGGAAGCCAAGGATACGTCATGCAAAGTACTCAGACTGTATTTTGTATCTTTCCATTTTGGGGAGAACTTGAAGGACATATTCAATTTGCCGTGCAGCTCCACAGATCTAGGCTGAATGAAGTTCATCTTTCAAAAAGTGCGGGTTAAATTCACAGCAGATGTCTGACTTGAAAGATAGTGTAGGTTAGACAATAATATTAGTGCTGGAATATTGCATTTAAAAAAAAAAGCTTTTATTTTTTGTTTATTTCAGGATTTTCTTTGCAACCTGTGATGCCACATGTAGAATCAACAGGAAACTTTTCCAACAATTGAAGGCAAACTTGTAGAAAAAGGGCTGTCTTGCCCTGTGAGCAGCAGCCTTGGTTGACCAGGAAAATGAAAGAGAATGTGCTGTTTTATCTGATGGGTCTCTCTGTGGCCACAGTAATGGGATATCCTTCCAGGTTGTCTTCCGCAGATTTGGATGCCACCCCCCGTATAACAATTGTCTATAACGGTAAAGGAAATCTCCGATTTTCTGGAATTAATATGACATGCTAATTTGGATGCATGTGAAGAATAATGTATAGGGTGTGTGTGTGGTGTGTGTGTGTGTGTGTGTGTGTGTGTGTGAATATTTAAAATGCAAACATACTCCATGTTTTGTATAAGCAGATTTCTGGATTCTCTATCTTTTGCATTTTGTGTGACATTTTCAAGGCTAACATATTTAATTTTGTAGACATGTTGTAATAGCCTGTTTGGTGAGTGTATTTAAAACAAGAGAGAAAAAAGTGATTGCTTGCTATAAATTATGAAGTTCGTGGAATTCACTGTACTTGAATTATTGACCTCTATGTTCTTTTCATAGCCTGCTTTCTTGAAGTTGGGCAGGAGTATTGATGGGGACCCTTTAGTTCAGATTATTCTACAGTAAATACATTCTAATGTGAAACAAATTTTACAGGGCAATCTCTGTAAACCATGTTCCAAACATTTTTGTGATAAACATTCTAACACCTTGAAACATACAGTTATGACTATTTTGAAATCTTCAAATCTTTTGAAAGAATTGGCAAAAATGTACTTCTTCCAAGATCCAAATCTTGCCTCCTCTAAAGATATTGGTTTGATTATAGGAAGTTAACCAAGTTAACTCTTATTTCTATTTACCAATCAGATCCATGTATAGAGTGAATACAATAAATGAATTGATAAGCATTTTATTCCATAGTTTCTTGAATTTTACTGATAGACTAGAGCTAATAGAGCTATTTACAGGTATTTGCTTTGTTTATTATTTTAATGCTAAAGTGATAATAGTTGCATCCAGTATTGCACTAGCTGTGTAGTTTCTGATTTCTGATGCCAATTATGGAGTCCTCACTTGATTCTTTGGTGGTAGAATTGTGATTTGCTTCTGTGGATTCCAGAACATTCACAATTCTGTGATACTGTAACTTAATGGATTTCTGAGATAATACTAAAGATATATCATAGTTGGTTTTGTGAGGCTGGAAACAACGAGGGACTGTTGTACACTGGTGATTTGAATAAGTTAGATAAGCCATTAATATTAATGTGGAGATAGTGCACTATGATGTGAATGAATGATAGAATAATGGCAGTGTGCTGATTCCTTTCATCTATTATACTTAATGGTGCTGTAAACTGGACTGTAGGAAAACCCAAAGTATTAAAACTATCAGCTTTATTACCTTCACTGAAATGTATTGTTCCATCTTGAAATAATTAATCATACTTTGGAAAGGCTCCAATCTATGCAGCCGAAAGCAGGTGATTTATTGTCAAGGATCTCACTTCTGCTCAACCAAAGGATACCAGAAACTCTTTCCTAAATAAACCATGGATACTGGCTTGTTTAACCATTCGTGGATTATCTTACAGAGAGCTTATAACAAAAGAAAGACTCCCTTTTGAGAGGCTCCGGTTAGGTTTGTTAATTGTTCCTTTTTTTTTTTTTTACTATGGAACAGAAAGGGAGAGGAAATCCTGCTTTAAGAGTTGTGTGAGAGCTGCCACTGATGATTACATGCCAGGTTGAAGCTGTCAGCATTGCTATCTTTTGCCTCAACATGCATGTCTGATTATATCAGCATCTTGGTGCAAATCCCCAGGCTCCGCTTTCCTGGGAATCTGCATGTATTAGAAACGCATGATCAGAAGTTCCTTCATGATGGCAAGGGAAAGGGGGAAGAATTCTATTTGGTTTGCATGTGCTGTTTTGCCCACAGTTATGTTTCGTGTAGGCTGTTTCTGGGTAGTTACCTGGCTTAGAAGACTGCATTTGTCAATTCCAACCACAGAATTATTTAGTAATGCTAACTTTGAATACGTTCTGTTCTTTCCTGTTTAAGAGAACAAATAGCAAAATGAGGCCAATCAACAGTCCATAGATCAGGTCACAAGCAAAAAGCAATGAGTCCAAAGGACAAGAGCACAGACTAAACCAATAGCTACTTCAGAGTTCAGCAACTAAGCCAGGACACGAGTTTAACAGCAGTATAAGCTACTGGCCTTGTTCATAAATGCTTGTTCAAAAACCCAAAGAGAAGACTAGGTTCAAGCAGTGAAAAATCAGAGTGATGCAATACAGAATAAGTAGCCTCAGAGCTTCATGGACTTGCAAATGAATTCTACATTTGCTAAAACATTTTTGGGTAACTAGGAAAGATTAGAAAGAGTTTCTAAGAGTTTGAGGCAAGAAGCACAGGAAAAAAATGATATATATAGTACCAGCCTTAGAAAAAAAATTAACAGTTTTAAAACCAAGCAGCCAATCTCTCCCTTAAAAGATATTCAGAAAAAAATGGTGGACACGGCTTCATTTTGGTTTACTGCCATATCCCACTATACCCCCAAAATGTTAAGTGCATGCTTCAACCACAAGATTGCTTTCTTCCACTATTTCATATACTGATATACTGGCTGGGTATCCCAAGAGCCATGATGGCATAGTGGTTAGAACGCAATTTTGCAGGCTAAATCTGCATTCTCACTGCCAAGAGTTTGATTCTTACCAGCTCAAGGTTGACTCAGCTGTCCATCCTTCTGAAGTCAGTAAAATGAGGACCCAGATTGTTGGGGGCAATGTGCTTAGACTCTGTAAACCATTTAGAGAGGGCTGTAAAGCACTATAAAGCGGTATATAAGTCTAAATGCTATTGTTATTGTTCAACTAGGCTAAAATGGGTTTGAGTAATTGATGATCTAGCATATTGTAGTTACAGTCTCATTGTATTGTATTATTTATTTATTTTATTTTATTTATTTATTTATTTATTTGATTTGCCAATTGTTTACAAGATAATAAGTATAAGTGTATACATAGTTGTGAATACATGAAATGGGTACATATAAGAAAAATAAAAGAAGAATAAGAGAAACAATAGGACAGGGACGGTAGGCACGTTGGTGCGCTTATGCACGCCCCCTACAGACCTCTTAGGAAAGGGGTGAGGTCAATAGTAGACAGTCTAAGGTTAAAGTTTTTGGGGTTTGGGGAAGAGACTACAGAGTCGGGTAGAGTATTCCAGACATTGACCACTCTATTGCTGAAGTCGTATTTCCTGCAATCAAGTTTGGTGCGGTTAACTTTGAGTTTGTATCTATTGTGTGCTCTTGTGTTGTTATGGTTGAAGCTGAAGTATTCATTGACAGGTAGGACATTGCAATGTATGATTTTATATACCATGCTTAAGTCAGACCGAAGACGGCGTAATTCAAGGTTTTCAAGTTCTAGAATTTCAAGTCTGGTGGCATAAGGTATTCTACAACGAGTAGAGGAGTGGAGAACTCTTCTTGTGAAATATTTCTGGACTTTCTCAATTGTGCTAATATCAGATACGTAATGTGGGTTCCAGACTGATGAACTGTATTCGAGTATTGGTCTAGCAAATGTTTTGTATGCTCTGGTTAGTAGTGTGATATTACCAGAGAAAAAGCTACGTAGGATTAGGTTAACAACTCTTAATGCCTTTTTGGCTATGTAGTTGCAGTGGGCTCTAGCACTTAGATCATTAGAGGTGAGTATTCCAAGGTCCTTTACAGAGCTTGGGTCATCAACAAGATCTTGACTATTCAGCTTGTATTTTATTTTCTGATTTTTTTTGCCAATATGTAAGACAGAGCATTTATTTGTTGAGATTTGAAGTTGCCATTTGTTTGACCATTCTGATACATAGTCAAGATCTTTTTGTAGGGTAGCAGTATTGTCTGTGGTATTGAACAGCTTTACATCATCAGCGAAAAGAACGCAATTGCTCTTAATATGATCACAGAGGTCATTTATGTAGAGTATGAAGAGAGTTGGTCCTAGAACACTGCCTTGGGGGACACCACTATTGACAGGTACAGAATTTGATAGGACGCTCCCAATTTTGACCATTTGTTGTCTGTTTGCCAGGAATGCTTCTATCCATTCAGGCAATAAAATTAATATTAAATAATATTAAATAAATATTAAATAAAATTAATATTAAATAATATTAATATTAAATTAATTAAAATATTCAGGCAATAAAATTAAGCCACAGCCATTTGCTATAGGAGCAAAGGATTCATGGATTTATGTTGATCTAAGTTGCATGCCATGTGTGAACGCAACCATAATTTCATCCAAGATTTGCTTTGAAATGAAGACTGTGCCCCCCAAGGCTTCATTCATTGCCATCAAGTCTATTCAGCCAGACGAGGTATGCAGGCTCAAGGACTTGCTCTTGGGGAGCCCTTCCTTGAAGCCAAAATCTCATGCAGCTCTCTGTCTGTGTCCTTCATTCCTGAGCTGCTTGCATTCTTGAAGGTTCAGAAGGATCTGCTACTCTGGGTAAAGCATCACAGAGGGTGGGTCAGGCACAATCTCATGTGCAGGTCCTGGGCTTTATGGTTCTTTGAACTCTATCTCATTATAGATAATTCCCTCAAGGAATGTATGACACCAATAAAAATGATACTACCATTTGGTGCTTGTTTTGCTGAAGCTGCTGAATGCAGGATTTTCAGTATGGGCAATTAATTGCAATTGTGTTTGTCTGGGCATTCAACTTCCAAGATGGAGCTGGCATGCAGACTTATATTATCAAATAGGTACCAGGGAAGCAGTTTTCATTCTAGTGTTAAAGAAACAGCAAGTGGGGAACAATGAATTTGCTGAGAAGATAGGAAAAATGTGGGCTTTTTGAAATTTTTTTGACATATGCTAAGGTAGTGAAAAAGATTTTTATCATGCTATCATATAAGCTTAGTTTACTTTATTGTCATTGCACCTCATATAACAAAATTAAATACCATCTTCAGTGTACATTATGACTATGAAAATAAACACAAACACACATCCTTCACATTCTATACAATTGAATTGAAAACCCCTGATATTGCATTAATATTGCACTCTTCAGTAGAATTCAATAGAGCTACTGCCCTGGGATAGAAGCTGTTTTTCAGCCTGTTTGTCCTTGTTTTTATTATCCTGTACTGTCTGCCAGATGTCCTCTATGT